TAGCACATAATTAACATATACTACACAGGTTGTGTGACAGGTTATTGCACAGGTAGTGACACTGAGGTTGAATTATTTAGTTATTGCCAGTTGTTCAGTGTTATTTATTGAGAGTTCAGTAATCTGGCAGCTTGTGGATAATAACTGTCCTTTAGTCTTTTCGTGTGCGATGGCAGACTCCTGTATCGTCTGCCTGAGGGTAGTAGACGGAAGAGTCCTTGTGCTGGGTGGGTGTGGTCCTTAATGATGCTTTTTGCTTTACACAGACATCGGCTGTGGTAGACGTGGAGACTGCTACCAGTGATGTCCTCTGCTGTTTGCATCACCCTCTGTAGTGCTTTCCAGCTCTGACTGGTGCAGTTCCCGTACCACCCCGTGATGCAGCCTGTCAGCAGGCTCTCAATGGTGCACCTATAGAAGTTTGTGAGGATGCTGGTGTTTGTACCAAACTTCTTTAGTCTTCTTAGGAAGTAGAGTCTTTGTTGGGCTTTCTTGACCACAGTGTCTGTATGTAAAGTTCAGGACAGATCCTCAGTAATGTGAACGCAGAGGAACTTGAAGCTGCTGACATGCTCCACCTCAGCATTGTTTATGTTGATGGTGGAGTGCTGGCCTCCACGCTGTTTCCTGAAGTCCACTACCATCTCCTTTTGTTTTGCTGACATTTAGAGAGAGGTTATTTTCCTGACACCAGCTGGTCAGTGATTTCACCTAATCTCTGTAGGCACTCACGTCATTGTTGGTAATGAGGCCCAAGATGGTGGTGTCATCAGCATACTTGAGGAAGACGTTAGTGCTGTGCTTGGTGGTAGTCATGTGTAAATAGTGAGTACAGGAGTGGACTGAGGACACAGCCCTGAGGTGTACTGGACTGAGGACTAGTGTGGAGGAGAGCTGACTGCTGATTCTCACTGCCTGTGGTCTGTTGGTGAGGAAGTCCAGCATCCAGCAGCAGATGGACTTCTCCAGGCCCAGTGTGGTGAATTTGGAGATCAGCTTGGAGGGGATTATGGTGTTGAATGCTGAGTTGTAGTTAATGAAGAGCATTCTAACATAGGTGTTTTTCTTCTCCAGATGGCTGAGGGAGGTGTGAACTGCTAAAGCAGCATCATCTGTAGACCTGTTTGCTCTGTATGCGGACTGTAGCAGGTCCAGGGTGTCAGGGAGGGAGGCACAGATGTGTTTTGATCATTTGCTCAAAGCACTTCATGATGACAGATGTGAGTGCTATGGACTGAAAGTCATTAAGGCAGGATGCTCCAGAGGTCTTTGGGATGGAGACAACCGTTTATTGCAATGGTTTGTTATCTAGGTGTCCAAATACTTCTTTAAAAAGTCTTCAGTTAATCCTGCTGCTGCCAGAGTCTTTACTGGAGTTAGTAGGAGAGATCATATTTATCCAGTTTTAGCTTTTCTCCATTGGCTCCCTGTCAAATTCAGAATTGAATTCAAAATCTTACTTCGAATCTACAAAGCTCTCAAAAACCTAGCTCCATCATATATTACATATTACATTACATTATTGTGATAGGAGGAAGACCTTTCAGTTATCAGGCTCCTCTCTTGTGGAACCAACTTCCAGTTTATATATATATATATATATATATATATATATGTTCTAGAATTGCGCCGCTTAAGGTGGCTGCATGTTGGAATAGCTGTTACTTTCATTCTGGTATATTGCTTTTGAAAACTTTATTTCCTCTTTTTTCTGTACGTAAATGGCTTTTTTTGGATGATTATTTCCTCTGGTATCAGATGATGTGCATCTGGAAGGGTTTTTACTGAAACCTTTTTACTTTTGGGCATTTGTTATGAAGCGTAACCATGACAACAAGGTGGTTTTTACATCCGGGAGCAGCTGATTAACATCTCAAAGCTCAAATATAACATCAAATACAGCCCTAAATCCCAAATGAGTTGTGAAGGAGGTGCCGTGTATGCATCTCCGTCTACCTGGCAGAGGTGCTTGAGTGACTGATGCTGGAATCCTTGGAGCTGGCAGGAAATGTGATTCATGACAACAAGAAGACCAGGATTATCCCCCGACACCTGCAGCTGGCTGTCTGCAATGATGAGGAGCTCAACAAGCTTCTGAGAGGAGTGGCCATCGCTCAGAGAGGAGTTCGGTCCAACATACAGGTGGTCCTGCTACCCAGGAGGGCCGAGAGGCTCATTGGGTCTGGGTGGACCGATCGGCATCTGCAGCCAGTTTTTTCAGATCCGCTGTGGTACGGATAGCTGCAGATCCTTCCTGCCCATAGCCATCAGCATCTATAACAACTCTTAATGGAATCAGGATGATGAGCTAGAACAACATTAATTTCCCTTTGGGAATAATAAAGTATTTTGAATTTAATTTAATTGAATAATTAGGGTTGGCTTGTTATGCTACTATAGACTTAGACTACTGGAGGATAAATTGACCTAATTTCCTTAAATGATTTGTTAAAATTGGATAGTTTTCATTTGATACTATATCTATCTTAACATGTAATTCTTGACTTGCCATTGTGTATTCATTCAACCTTTATTTATACAGATTAATCACATTTAGCCTCTCGTTCACATAAACAACCAGGAGTAGTCTGAGATAGCTGGTCAATTCAAGGCCGAGTGGGAAGTCAAATTCAGATAATTATTTTGGGTCAGGCAGCCTCTGCTTGAATTTCCATGTCTGCCTTCATAGTTCTACTGGTACGTCTCAGTGGTGTCTCCAAACAGACAAATTTTGTGGTCACGCCGCTGGACCGAGCTTGTAGCCTTCTCCAAGGTTGATTCCTCCCTGCCGGTGAGTCCCAGGAGCTGCAACTGGCCTGCAATTCTCAGAAATTGTGTCCAGCTTATACGGCTCAGCTCATGCAGCGTCTGAGTCTGAGAGCTTATTGCTCTGTGCATTCCCAAGCCAGGCAGATTTACCAAGGCCAGAACGGCTGCTGACATTTTCTGCATTTGTCGATAAACCAGTTAACAGCCGACTCCAAAAAGCAGAAATCCTGTCATCATAGATCCAATTTTGTACGCGTCTTCAACATCCTCAACAGACAATACAGACAGACACACCATCTTCCACTGTCCCCAGGAATCCATCGTATATCCAGCTGCAAGTGTCCCTTCAAGGCATGAGGGCTCTCCTTCACCCCGTCTTCTCATTGAGAAAATGTTATCAATTGCATTGAGACCAGCTGACCAGATCCATAACTTACCATTTGGACGATATGTAGTGAGAGGCTCCAGTAGGAATCACAAGACAAAGAGCAAAGCAGGAGGAGCAGGAGGTGAGAGTCGGTTCTCATGGAGAGCAAGCAGAGTATCTGTATCTGTTCCTCCTTCCTGTTCCTCTCAAACCCACCCGGTTGAAGCAGATGGTTGCTTGTCCTGAGCCTGGTTCTGCTAAAGGTTCTTCATGAGGGAGTTTTTCCTTTCCACTGTCACCTTCATGCTTGCTCAAGATGAGAGTTCTGTGATGAAGTTAAATTCAAAGCAGCTCCTCAGATAAATAGTGTTAACTTGTTTCTTTTTATATATGAATGTGTCTGCAGCACGGTGACGCAACTGGTAGAGCTGCTGCCTCCCAGCGAGGAGGTTACCCTGGTTCAAATCCTGGTCCGGGGGCCTTAATGGGTGGAGTTTGCATGTTCTCTCCGTGCATGCGTGGGTTTTCTCCGGGTACTCCAGGTTCCTTCCACAGACCAAAAACATGCATGTTAGTCTGATTGATAACTCTAAATTGTCTCTATAGGTGTGAATGAGAGAGTGGATAGTTTTGTCTCTGTGTGTCCCCAAGATAGACTTGCGACCTGTCCAGGATATCCCTTACCTCTTGCACAGTGATAGCTGGACATGGGCACCAGTGACCCCCATGACCCAAAAAGGAAGAAGTGGGTAAGATAATGGATGGAAGTTTATGATACTGTACAAGCTAACCAAGCATCATATTTATCTGTTCTCGTGTGTCCTTGTCATCTTGCTTTATTTTGTTGACAGGATTTCTTCATCATGTTTGTCCACGACCTGGTCACCATACTCCTCATCACTTTCTCTTATGGCAACAACATGCTAAAAGCTGGCTCTTTGGTCATGTGCGTCCACGATGTAGCTGATATCTTCCTTGAGGTAACTGTATATACTGTACGTTTTTTTTTTTTTAAATAAAGCTATCCCACTAATTAAATTAAGATCTGGATCACAACTTCAAATTGTACTTTTCACAGAAAAACTGTATCGATCATATACTGGAAACGCATTGTCTTTTAAATTAATTAATGTTTTGAATCATAGTGGCACAGGTGGTAACACCATCGCCTCTCAGCAAAAACGTTGTTGGATCGAATCCTGGCCTTTTTTAGGTGGAGTTTGAATGTTGTCTTGATCCACGCATGGGTTTCCTCCAGGTACTCCAGTTTCCTCAGACCAGAAACATGCATGTTAGGCTGACTGGTAACTCAGTGTCTCTAAGATGGACTGGAGACCTGTCCAGGGTGTGTCCCCCGCCTATCGCACAGTGACTGCTGGATTTAGTCAGCGTCAGTGACCCCAGCGGTCCAGAAAGGAAGGAGGAGTAAAAATAATATATAAATGTTTTGAATCATTTGCTTCATTTATTTTCAAAGGCTGCTGCTGGTCCTGCAGGTTCTTCACATCATCTGGTTCTACTTAATTACCAGCATTGCAATCAAGGCCATCTTCAAGGGAAAGGTTTGTCCATTATTTTTGTGTTGGGGGGGGGGGGGGGGGGTTAGACCTGGTGGTGTTGCACCTCATTCATTCATTCTGTTTTCTAAATAACCAATCATTTGTATATAGTATATCTCCTTAAAATAAAGTGGTGCAGTGTTCTAAACTAGTGAGAAATGTCTACATTGTCATTTTAACAATAAAATAGGAATGTTTCTCATGATGTAGGTTTCTAAACAAATCTATATTTAAATATATATCTAAACTGACTTTACTTGTTTTTGTCCAAGAAAACTCAAAACTACCAACAACAAAAAAAGAAAGACATACCCTGATAGACATTAAATGGGATTTTCTCAAAGTTTTTGTTATGCCTTATTCGTTTTTGTAAATTTGTTTTAGAAATGGACTATTTGAAAAGCAGCAGTAGTTTGAGACAAGGTTTTGGTGAATTTATTTAAGGCCAAATCAGATTTTGATAATTTAAGCCCTCATTTTTAGTCATTTAAGTTAGTATCTGACTGAGCTGCTTCTGATGGAAAAACGTTCAAATTTTCATTGTAGTTTTGGTGAATTTTGAATGTTTGCAACCATCGAGCCATGTGGAAATGTTTTCAAAAACTGCAGCTGGTCTTCGTGTTGCTTGAAAACCTTGTGCACATTTTGATGCGGACCTCCACCTACTTCAATGTATGAATAAGTAATTATTAATTACACTGATAGAACAGTTTGGAAAGTTGTTGAGCAACCCCGTGGCAGCAGTGTAAACCATATTTTGATTTAAAAAAAATGTATTATTATTTACAAGTGTTCAGCAAATGATAATCTTTTCCACTTAACTCATCGTTAAATTATAAATTTACTTTGAGCAGTTTTGTTACAAACAAATCACACACACACATGCTGGTCACTTCACTGCAAGGACACTTTAATTGATCAGAAGCAATAAATATTCACATCTCGATGCTCTGTTCTTTCAGCACATGTAATACAAAACAAACAAACAAAAAAACTATAATCAGATTTAAATAATATCAATAAGTGCACTGACAAACTTTTCCAGGCTTTAAATTTAGATTTCTGTAACTCATTCTCACACATTATGAAATAAGAAGAAGAGGGGAAAAAAGAGGTCAAATTCCTTTTGGACAAGAGTTTCTCTTTTTTCCCCGTCCTTGTTTTCTTTGTGCACACTTAGTGGCACTCACATGCACCTGATTACAGAATGGGAGCAGTTCTTTCCATGGTTATAAGAAGCCTATGTATAATTTAATATGTACATTCATATTTATACAGTAAAATCTATTCAATAAGTGCAGATATAGTCATGCAAGAAAAGTTAAAAAGGACAATAAAAAGGAAATAATAGACAACCGTTTCCTCAAAATTCTTCGTTAATATACTTTTCTCTTTTCAAAACGTCTTGAAATCCCTTTTAACCATTGAAATATTAAATAATTTTGGTATCTTTATTGAGCAACTAGTTCCACAGACGGCTGTATTTAGTCTTCTCCCATTCGTTTAGTTTTCTCTTGGTGGTCAGAATCACTGATTTGTTACTTCAAAAAATTGCAGTAGCAAAAGGATCGACACACAAGGCTCAAAGGAGGAAAAAACAAAGACATGAAATAAAGTTTGTGCCTGCAGGCTATTTTACATTCTTATGTTTTTATACAAGATGCTGAGGCATCAGTAAAATATCAGGATATTTATTAAAGTGTCAGGACAGGGATGAATAAAAGGCCATTTCTCACTTAAGACATCACATGTGCAAAACCACAAAACCTCATGAAAAGCGTGCTTCTTCAAAAACATGTGGGAAAAAATGACACTATTACTACATCTGATGACCGGACAAAAGTAAGAATGTAGGTGTGTGGTATGAATGATCTAATTTTCACACCTATATTTAAGTGTTGTTTCAATACTGGGAGACTCAAATATAATTTAAGGAAAAACATCAAGTAAAACTCATTCCCTCATTTCAAGTTTTGATGGTCATAATGCTGATGAGAAGTGCAGTTTAAACTCTATAAATAAAACTTTGTGCCAGCATTCAAATAAATCTAAGGGAAAAATCATTGTTTTTAATACTCAGTAACACTAATTAAAATTCAAGCTGAATGGAAACTATGATACTACAAAAATAAATCACACTTCACTTCTCAGAATACTCTTTAGTGTTTCTGGCAAACCAAAGGAATCATCATGTGCAAAAAGACTTTCTAACCATGTACAAACATCTGCTGATTATCACCGATCAAAACAATGAATGGACAATATTCATTCTGCTCAGGTGGAGCAGCTTTATCATAATATCAATAAAACAGTAAGAAGCTTCAAAAACATTTAAAATGTATTATTTGTTTTGTTCATTTTCTTAGCCCACGCAAAAAGCTTCCCCCGCTGAAAGCCTAGTGGTTCCTGTTGTGTGAAGAACTGCCAGAAAACGGAGTACTGGTTTCAAGGCTGTGGGATGTGAGGGTGCTGCAGCGCCCCCTGATGGCTGCCAGTGGACATGCATGTTCAAATATGTTGAATAACTAATGAGAATTGTAAATAAAACAAATTTAATTAGTGATGCATATGTCCAAGTTCCAATATTTGGATATAACTGTGTTTCTGGTATCTAAACCAAGTTATTGAACATCTGTGTGATTATTATTATTTTTTTTACAATCTCCTAAAATCTACAGAAAAGTGGTCAGATTAGGTCATGAATGCATTTTATAGATGTTTGTCTAAAATATACAGCATAATTTAAATGTCCATATTCAGATAAGACAACCTGCACTGCATATACTTTCTATTAAGATATGAGTTTAGGGAGAAACAGCCCCCACCCTCACCCCCAATTGAAATGTTCCCACAGCTTTAACTGGTTCTAGTGTTTTATGACAGAGCTACACTAGTGAGGTTTTTTTAAATAAAGAAAATATAAGATGCCTGTCAGAAAACCTGCATAAATGGATAAAGCCAAGTAAATTATTGCAAAATAAAGGGACTTCTTCCTGACTTCTGTTTTAGAAGTAAAACTCTACTGGAATAGATTTTGTGCTTTTAGTAATAATTTACAAACTATGTAAGCCTGATCATTGATCAGTGTTCATGATCACATCTTGAACATGTAAATAGTTTTATACATACACATCTAGATTTCAAACAAGTTAAATTGAGGCAATATACCGGTACCAAGTAGACACAGATGTGGTTTCATCTTAAATTATATGGCTATAGACTTTTTTTTGATTGTGTGTGCTAAGTGGTGGAGTGTGTGTTGGTGTAATGTTGTGTGTGTTTCTGTTTCAAGGTGTGCACATGCTATTTGCCTCTAGCAGGGCTCGCTGTCTCCACCTACATATGTGGGAAGCGGAGGTGAAAGTAGCAGAGGCGAAGCAGCCTGCGCTTCCTCTTGTCGCCAGCGCTGCTGCTGTTACTTTCTGTCCTGGCAGATTTGCTTCTGGCCCGAGATCTGCCCACCTCCTCCCATCTGTTGTCCGACCTCTGACCCCTGGAGCTCCATGTTCTGCTCATACCACGGTACTTATCCGGTTGATAGGTTTGGATTTGGAGCTGCCCCCTGTACCTGTTGCTCCAGCCCCTGTCACCTGTGGCCCCTGCTGAGGCTGCGCGGGGTGCTGGGGGGGGAGAGGGGAGAGAGGTGTAAGAGGGGTAAGGGGGGACGAAGGGGGGGGTAAAGGGGAGTGTGGTGGGGGAGGGGGGATAGAGGAGAGAGGAGGGTACTGGGGCAGATACGGGGCGGCGGAGGCTGTGTGATGCGCACTGACGGAGGCGGACGGCAGGTTGTGGGGCAGCGTGCCGAAGATGAAATGTGTTTGATGGGTGGAATGGCTGGTTGGGTGTGGTGTTTGGGCGTGCCTGGGGTGGGTTTGGGAGTGTGCGTGGGGGTGGGGGTGGGAAAGAGACAGGGTTAGCGGGGGTTTGGTGCCAGGGCCGCCGCCCCCTCTGACAGAGTGTGTGTGCTGCCCGTGGTAGAGGGTGAACTGTGGGTTCTGGGAATGTTGGGAGAGAGGAGAAAGAGGGGGGGGACATCCTACCACCATATTGGTGTAACGAGCCTGAAGGCCATGCTGGGAGAGCTGGGAGAGATGGGCCAGCTGCAGGTGCGGGATGTGTGGGGGGCCAAGCGGTGGACGACAGAGAAGTGGGCCTCTCTGTATAGTAGTATGAGGGGGCACACCTTGCAAAGGAGGGGGGATGGGCTGGACGTGGAAGCGATGGTGATGGTAGTAAGGTGGTGGGGGCTGTACGGTGCCCACGTGACAGTACTGTGCGTGTAGTGCCTGGATCTTGGACGACCCCCCATCCAGTTGGCATAGAGATGAAGGGGAGAGAGGAGGGGGTCCTCCCGTAGTCGGTGGGGGTACAGGTGCGGGGTAGGGTGGCCCCGGTGGAATAAGGGGCCCCGGTGGTTTGGCGCGTTTGCTGCCGAATAGTGACCCCAGGAAAGAGCCGCTGCTGTTGCTCCCCCCAGGGCCGCTCCCTACTCCTGATCTCTCTACACTGCTGGAGACTCCCCCAACTCCTGTCCCAGCAGTGGTATGTTGCTGCCCCGGCCCACCCCCCACCCCCGTTCCGGGGCTCAGGATGGGGCGGTGAGGCCGGAATTCTTCTGTTGAGTAGCAGCCAGGGAGAATGCCTGGCACTGGGTAGCGCTGGTGAGGCTGAGGGCTGCTAATGATGGAGCCCTAGGAACATAAAATCCCATCAGGTTTCATAAAAAACATTGACCAGCAACAATTCTTGGTCCTACTTGCTTCATCTTGCAACACATGCTCGGGCAAGTGTAAACAAACAGCCATGCAAAGGGTGTCAGTGCAGGACACAAAAACATGCATGTATTTTCAGACTGCACACACACAGAGCGTGCTCAGGGAAACAGGAAACCAGTGAGGGGAAATACAAGCAAGTTGCTGCAAGTCTTTATGAGACTTACTTCCATAGTGCTGTCCAGAGAACCAACACTGTTCCTGCGACCACGTTTCCCTGCACCCCACCAGGAAGAATCAGGTTAGCAAAGAGTGCAAGATACAAAGATACAAAAAGAAACGCCTCATGTGCTGTGATTGGATATCAGCGAGAAAAACGAACACTACACAGCAACAGAAACGGAGAACAAAATCCTGGTCTCAAAGTCACACCAGTAATGAAACGGCATCAAACCCGTCCCTGTGGCGGTGTGGTCTCACCTGTGTCTGAGAGGTCCCTGAGAGATGAGCTGAGCGCTGTGCGTTTGAGACCCTCACCCACTGAGCAGTTGTCATCAAAACTGGTCCTTCCCAAGGTGCCGTTCATAACGTCACCCTTCACGCCTACACCTCCTCCACCCACACCTCCACTTAACAAGCTGGGTCGCATCACACCTTTTTGTTTTTCCAACTCCGCTGTAATTTCACACAGAGCACAAAGAGGAATTTTAGGTGAAAAAAAAAGGCATAACAGAATAATGAGCTATAAAGCAGCACCGGGAAGCACTTGACCAAGTTTCCTTTATCACAGACCCATTGTTGCTCAGCTTCCTAACAGTTATGATGTAATTTACAGTAACAGTCAGCAGATGGCACACTTACATTCAACTCTATATTTCTCCATTTCTTGCACTTCAGCAATACTCTCTCTGAGGTCGCTAACAAAGCGGGTACGGTCTTGCTGACTGGGTGCCATAAAAACAATAAGAACCTTCCTCTCCCCACCCAAGCTGGCTGAGGTCAGGCGGATGCCATGAGGGTAGTCTAGATGGTAAACAAGGAGAAATAAATACTCATTATCACAATGAACTATTCAATAAGTGTTGGGACACTGTGTAAAAATGTGAATAAAAACAATGAAATGGTTTGCAAATTTCATAAACTTGTTTGATTCACAGTGGAACATAGTAAATATATCAAATGTTGAAACAAAGACATTACACTTTTTTGACAGAGGAAAAAAAAGTCATATTGAATTTGATGGTAACATCACATCTGAAAAGGGCTTGAACAGCAACAAAAGGCTGTAACAATGATATGAATAAGAAGCAGCTGGAAGAACATTTAGCAACAAATTAGGTTAATTGGGTTAACAGGTCAGTAAGAGGACTGGGTATAAAAAGGAGTGGTTTAGAGAGAGAGAGAATCTCACAGATGTTAAAATGGGAAGAGGTTCACAAGTCTGCAAAAAATGCTAAAAATAGAACAATTTTATATTAATGGAACATTGTGAAGATTGTGCATATCTCATCATCACCCAATGTTCTGGTGTTGCTGGACCTGACAGCTGCGTTTGAAGCAGTGGACCACACTGTCCTTTTGTCTCGTCTTCAACGCTATGTTGGAATATCTGGTACAGCTCTCAAGTGGTTCACTGCCTACTTGACCAAAAGAACATTCTCTGTCATGTTGGGTCATCTGTCTTCCTCTACTGTCCCTCTCTCGTGGTGTGCCACAGGGTTCTATTCTTGGTCCTCTCCTCTTCTCTCTGTACAGGCTGCCTCTTGGATCAGTGATAGCCAGACATCACTTTTCTTTTCACTGCTATGCTGATGATCTACAAATTTATTTACCAATGAAGCCTAAAAATATTAACCTTCACACACCTTTTACTGATTGTATTGACAACATTAAACAGTCCTGATGCATGCTCAACATTAAACAGTGGCTTCATCGTAATTTTCTGTTTTTAAACAAAGGAAAGATGGAGTGCATCTTCTTTGGTGATGATGCTCCCTGTAACTTTGGTGCTCTGACATCCAAGTTCAGATCCACAGTTAAAAACTTGGGGGTGATGTTTGACAAGGACTTAAAGTTTGATAAACAAATAGCCTCTGTAGTCAAGGCCTGTTTTTATCACTTATATCTCTTATCCAAAGTTAAGCCTGTTTTAAATCGTTCTGATTTGGAAAAGGCCATTCACGCTTTTATCACTTCAAGGCTTGACTACTGCAATTCCCTATATGCAGGAATCTCCCAATCCTCCATTAGACACCTTCAATTGGTCCAAAATGCTGCAGCTCCACTCTTAACCAACACCTCCAGACGTGAGCACATTACACAGATTTTATTTTCTCTCCACTGGCTTCCAGTCAATTTTAGAATTAAATTCAAAATTTTATTATTCACTTTTAAAGCTCTCAATGGTCTTGCCCCACTATATCTGACTGATCTTATAGCTGTTCGTGAATATAGGAGAACACTGAGATCATCCAATACTTTTCTACTGTCTGTTCCAAAGTCCAACTCGATGGGGTGACCGGGCCTTTTCTGTCGATGCACCCAGACTCTGGAACCATCTACCTCAGGACTCGCGCTCCATCACTGATATGGAGCATTTTAAGCCTAAAATTAAAACCTTTTAATTGAGGCAGGCTTTTAATACCTAGTAATTCTTTGGCAATCTTGCTATGTTTTAATTGTTTGTTTTTAATTTTTAACAGTCTGTTTTTTTAATTCTTAATTGTTTGTTTTTAACTTCTGTACTGTGTAGCACTTTGTGCACCTTTTGGCTGCTGGAAAGGGCTCTATAAATAAAGTTTGATTGATTGATTGATTGATTGATCATCTACAGTTCCTAATATAATCAAAATATTTCAAACATCTGGAGAAACCTCTGAGCTCAAAACACAAGACTAAAAGTCAATTTTGAGAGCTCATGGTCTTTGGGCCCTCAGGGCCACTGTACTAAAAACAGATTTGATACTCCATGGGTTCAGGAACACTTTCACAAATCAACTGTGAACACAGTTCACCGTGAACATTCATAAATGACAGTTAAAGCTCTATCATATATGTATCATCATATGTAAACGCGTTTAAAAATTTGTACTATTAAAAAAAACAACACAATTCATTATTAATTTAGTGGCAGCAACACACCCTAAACAAACTGGGACAGGATAATGTTTACTACTTGAAGAAGCACCCCCAGACAAAGCCGTACCATCTGCTGTTGTAATGGATGCTATATGAGCTTTAGCATTGTCTTGATGAAAAGCAAAACAATTCAAGGCCTTCCCTGTAAAACACAGTCTTAATGGGAGCACACGTTGTTCTAAAGCCTGTATATAATTTTCTGCATTGACTATGCCTTTCCAGATGCCATTGGCACAAATGCAACCCCATATCATCAGAGAGGCATGCACCCCCATATCATCAGAGGCAAACTTTTGAACTATGTCCCAGATGGTCCCTCTCCTCTTTAGTACAGAAAATGTGGCATTGGTGGTATTAAAAAAAAAAAGTTTCATATTTTATTTGTCTAACCACAGAATAATTTTCCACTTTGCCTCAGTCCATTTTAAATGTGCATAGGCCCAGGAAAGACGGCAGCATTTCTGAATGATGCTCACATATGGCTTCTTATTTTCATGATAGAGCTTTAACTATCATTTGTGAATGTTCGTGGTGAACTGTGCTTACAGATGATTTGTGAAAGTGTTCCTGAGCCCATGGAGTATCAAATCTGTTTTTAGTACAGTGGCCCTGAGGGCCCAAAGATCATGAGCACTCAAAATGGACTTTTAGCCTTGTGTTTTGAGCTCAGAGGTTTTTCCAGATACTTGAAATCTTTTGTTGATATTAGGAACTGTAGATGATGAGATATGCAAAATCTTCACTATGTTCCATTGAGGGTCATTAATCTAAAAATATTTTGCTATATTTAGATCCAGTTTTTTGCAGACTCGTGAACTTCTTCCCATATTTACACCTGTGAGATTCTCCCTCTCTAAATCATTCCTTTTTATAGAGACCTCTTACTGACCTGTTAACCCAATTAATCTAATTTGTTGTTAAATGCTCTTCTATTGTTAAAAAAAAAAAAAATAAATAAAAAAAAAAAAAATAGAGATTTGCAAATCATTCCCTTCTGTTTTTGTTTACATTTTACAAATGGCTCCAATCCACCCCCTATCCCCAAAACGAACAAACAAACAAAACAACTGGGGGTTGTAAATAGGATAATTAATAACAATTAAGAGGTGCAAAAAAGTTTCTTACACGAGTTCTGGAACATGTGGACTTGCATGTCAACCAAGGGAAAAGATTGTCTGAAACTATAAGTCACTGAGGTTTTCTTCTTCTGGAAGATTTTGGTTACCTAGTACATAACAAATGTAATGTTTTGTTACAGCAGCTAGTAAATTATACTCACTAGTACATATGAAGAAAGGTGCAAAAGCCAGTCTTACCACAAGCAAGTCGTTAAAGAGAAAGACCTCTCGCTGGTGCACTCCTGTCCTCTGAGGTCGGTTGGGGTCAGGCACCTCGTAGAGCTGGCAGCAACACACTAGCCTCCGATGGGGAAGAGACAGCACCTGGCGGAAACATCACAGTACATTTACAAGTTGTAGATGAGTAAACTTCTTTGAGAATGCATTACCGGACTTCTGTTAATTTCAGTAACAGAAACTTACAGGCTTCTTGCCAACGATGACCCTCTCCACTGCCTGCACCTGGGACACATGGTCATCATTTGTTCTTAACTCCCATTTCTGTATTCGCTGGTAAATCCCAACCAACAAGTCCCTGGGAATATCCTGACCATTGTCGACACCTGGAGTAGAACCAAGAACACTCAGAGTATTAGAACAAGAAGCTGCACAGTAGCTTTCTCTTTTAAAAATATACCTTCACACACACAAGTCTGACAAGAAAGAACATGTTTAAAAAGTATGATGGTTTAATGCTGTTTCATTAAACTATCTTCCCAAGTCCAACAGCACAGAGAAAGTGCATGTTTAAACTGCTGTGTGTTTCACAAAGTCTTGCAGTTGGCGTACAGTTGTGGTCAGAAGTTTACATACACTCATGAGAATGAACGTGGTATAATATATATGATATAATGTAAAGGTTTATTTAGACTGTTCACCGCCCCCCCCGGTGGAATAATTAACAATATACAGCTTCAATGTTTTTCATAAACAAGAATTGGGTGCAGAAGTATGACTTTTTTTGTGAATTTTCTCCAATATACATACTGTATGGTCAAAATTATACATATACCCATATACATTATACATACAAAAATATATACATATAGTCATCTAAATCTGTTAATAAGTGGTGTCAAAAGTTTTAAAATGTCTTACTTTGACAAGGCTGAGACCTGTAAACTTCTCATTTGTGATCATGACTGACTATGGCAGGTAGTTTCTCTTTACTAGAATATAAAGGATTTGTTTGACATCACTGGATTGGCCAGTTCTCATCTGTTACACTAAATTCAAAAAGCGTTTAATACAAAAACAACTGGACTTTATTTGTAACAGAAGACGTTTCGCTCCTCATCCGAGGAGATTTCTCAATTCCATTCCTCAATTCTCAATTGAGAATCTTCACCAGCATCTGTTACACTCAGATTATAGAAAATTAGTTTGGATGTACAGAAACCACTCAAAACTACTGGAACATCAGTGTCTCTGTCCACAGTGAAGCCAGTTTTTCATCTCCATGAAATAAGAGAGTGCTGACCAAGAAAGAAGCTCTTGCCACAAAAACAACACCTTCAAGCTAGACTGAAAACTGCAGCTGCCCACATCAATAGGCAAAATGTTTTTTGGAGAAAATATTTATCATCAGACAAGACAAAGATTGAGCATTTTGACCACAATGTCAAAAAATATCCTTAAAGGAGACAAAGTTAGGCTTTCAAACACTACCAACTGCCAAGCATGGTCGTGGTAGTATCATGCTGTGGTAATGATGAAATACCCAAAGTGAATGGAATAATGAAGGACTACCTCCATATTATTCAGCTTCACCTTAAATCAACAGCTGGCTGTTCAAACACATCAATGATCCAAAACACATTAAAACTGGTTTCTGATTGGATAAATCAGCCATCATTAAACTTCTGAAAAGTCTTCCCAAAGCCCTGACCACAACACTTGAAAATTTGTACTGTGCTTCCTTCAAGCCTGGAAAAAGAGCAGTTCAAATAAATGACTAAATAACTAAAATTAATACATTCTGTACATTCCGTGAAAAATGTATACATTTTAAACTTATGACCAAAACTTTTTACCATATCTTCATTCAGCAGCTTTGAGCTCAGCCTGTTTGAACTCAGTTCCTCCCACATTGTGTTGTGTGTGCGGTGGTCTATCGGCCCCCCAAGTACAATAAGAATTTTATAAATGACTTCTCAGACTTTTTGGCTGAAATTATGCCAAAATACGACTGAGTTCTCATTGTTGGTGATTTTAATATCCATGTGTGTTGTCCTGATTTACACATGGCTGAGTGCTTTTTAAACATCATTGACTCTTTTAATCTTGTGTAGTCCGTGACTCGTCCTACACATGAGCATGGACACAATGGATCTGGTTTCATCTTGTGGTTTACCTGTTTTTAAATGTAGTGAGTAGTGATCCTGTATTTTCTGACCACATGCCTGTTTTATTTGAGACTAACTTATCTTGATCTAAAGCTAAACCCCACGCTGCAGCTCGGCTGTGGTGTGTTTTGAACTCTTCCATTGCTGGGAACTTTGCATTGTTTTTAATCAGAACTGTGTCATCCCAGAGACTGTGTGCAACAACACATAGGCTCTCAGTTCATGGTTTTACTCCACCTGCAGAATGGTTCTGGATTCTGTGTCTCCGTTAAAAATCAGACATCCTAAAATCAAGTGTGAACCCTGGTTGGATGAGAACACTACGTTGGCTAGGAGAGTGTCGCAGAGCCAAGCGTAGGTGGAAAGCGAACAAATTACAGGTGTCATTTCAAATATTAAAGGGCTGCTGACATCACTATCAAAAACTGTGAAAGATCCCAAAAGAAAATACCTGCCTAATGTTATTGTATCAAACAGTCACAACCCTCATGTTTTATTTAAAGTGATTGGTTCTGTTCTTAATGCACCACAAACAAACTATTGAATTCTCACCTGATGCACGTGAAAACTTTCTAAATTTCTTTGTTAAGAAAGTCACTTTCACCAGGGCCCAGATCTCACCTTCTGCTCATGACCCCTCAGTCTTTGTGCCCTGCTCTGCTGTTTTTGATAGCTTTGAACCTGTTACTCTGTCGTCTCTGCAGGAGGAGGTGGTTAGTCATTTAAAGCCAACAGGTTCACCAAGTGATGCTATTCTTCCTTGTTGATTTAAAGAGGTTTTCCTCACTGTAGGGCTTTAGGTCCTTGCTCTTCTGAACAGCAGTCTGTCCTTTGGTGTGGTCCCTGGAAATTTTAAACATGCAACTGTCCAGCCTCTCATTAAGAAACCCACTCTTGATCCCTCTGTTCTTGCTAACTACAGACCAATCTCAAAACGGACATTTCTTTCAAAAATTCTCAAGAAGGTGGTGTGCCACAGGGCTCAGTCTTAAGTCCCCTCCTCTTCACGCTGTACCTGCTCACTCTTAGCTCTATTTTTAGAAAATATGGGATCTCCTTTCATTGTTATGCAGATGTACACAGATGTGTCCCACTAAAGAAAAAGGACTAACTCTCTGGGTCCTCTGTTTTCATGTCTGGAGGACATAAAAGCCTAGATGGCTGTGAAATTCTTAAATTTAATGAGGGAAAGACTGAGGTGATGGTCTTTGGAAGCTCCACTGAGACTCCCAATGTAGATGTTGGTTTCTTGGCCCAGTACATCAGGGCAACTGTTACAAACTTGGGGGTCAAAGTCAATGCTGTTAAAACTATTTTTTTCCATTTGAGGCAACTGGCTAAATAAAGTGAAGTCGACTCTTTCTCAGCGGCATTTCGAAACAGTAGTTCAAACCTTTGTGACTACTTGGCTCAACTACTGTAACACTATACAGAAATCAGTGATTCGTGTATTGCTCAGCTTCAGAGGGTACAGAATGCTGCTGCACGGCTTTTAACTGGCACACAAAAGTTTGAACACATTTCCCCTGTTTAGCCTCCCTGCACTGGCTGCCTGTACATTCTAGGATTCATTTAAAAATTCTTGTATTTGCTTTTAAAGCTCTTAATGGACTTGCCCCGCCCTATCTGTCCGAGTTGCTACATCTGCATACACTCTCTCGATCCCTCTGATCATGCGATCATCTGCTCCCGAGTGTGCCAACGACAAAGAGTAAGCTCAGAGGAGACCGTGCTTTTGCTGTGGCAGCTCCTAAACTGTGGAATGACCTTCCCTTGAACATCAGACAGGCCTCTTCCCTGTCTGTTTGTAAATACCTTGTAAAACCCATCTCTTCTCTCTGGCCTTTGATACCATCTGATATGTTGACTTTTAATCATTTTAATCAATCTTTATTATCTGAATGTATGATTATTTTATTATGTGTACAGCACTTTGGTACTGTGGGTGTTTAAAGTGCTCTATAAATAAAGCTGGTATGATAGGGTATGGTATAACTGCATGTCTTTTCTGCCGAACAGCACCTCTCAAATTCTTGATGAAATCCTCCAGTTTCATCTTCCTCTCAGCTTTGATGTTGGGGCTGTACATATCCGTGTTGAGGAGAATTATGGCAAAGGCCAAGATGAAGATGGTGTCGGGGTTCTGGAACTGCCGAATCAACGTTGGATTACACACACAATACCTTTGACTGAAGACAAAAACAGCATGTAGAAATGTTTAGTTTGACTCAGTAGTCTAGTCACAACAAATAAACTTCAGACTTTTAGAAAATCATCACATACAAACCTGAATGCCTCTATGAGCCTCTCCACCTTTTGAGCTTCTCCTTGAACCTTGATTTGGGCCTGAAATTTCCTCAGGGCATCATCAAGGTCCATACCTGAGAAATCCATCTCATCCACCACACAGCTGAAAAACACATAGAGGTCAGAGGTCACAGCTGAACCTTCTTTACATTAAGCCACAACAATATTCAGTTCAATTCAAATCAGTTTATTTATTTAGCACCAAGTCACCACATTTTATCTCAGGGCACTGAACAAAAACATTCATATACATTATAAATGCCAATTAGCAAAGTTATCTATTTAAAGAAGGCACCTCCCATTCAGACAGTATGGTTAAAACACAGGGCAATAATGTTTTAGCCCATATCTGTGTTTGTTTGCCTGGGGTGTTAGCAAAATATCTCAGGAAGCCATCCATCATTATCTTCCGCTTGCTCCGAAGTAGGGTCGCGGGGGCAGCAGCTTGAGCAGGGAGGCCCAGACATCTCTTTCGACATACACGTCTTCCAACTCTTCTGGGAGGATTCCAAGGTGTTCCCAGGCCAACTGAGAGACAGTCTCTCCAGCGTGTCCTGGGTCTTCCATGGGGTCTCCTCCCAATTGGACATGTGTAGTATGACATATCCTGAGATATATTCATACATTAAACGGGTTCACTCATCTTTCTGGACTGTGTGATGTTCGTGCGTTGAATTCAACAGAAATGTAACGTGAGACGTCATTTTTCTTTGACCCATCAAAATGAATGCGGTCATTTATTTTACAGAATCAAAGTTTAACATCAAACATTTACATTAATTTGGCAGAATATGAAAACAACAACATAATTAATCAGCTTTTACAACCAGGAAACCATACGGCCATGGTTTTCCGTTGCTTCACCACAGACATTAATGAAAACATCTGGATTAATTTTCTAGCAGAAAGGAGAGTTTAAAGATGGAAAATTGAGATTTATCTTACAGAGAGATGTGTGAGGGAATTTATCTGTTTTAACCAGAACAGCACGCTCCATTGAAATCAGCTTGGGCCAACGGTACGCTTGGTCGAAATAGAACTTTTACCTTGCAGACGATAGCTTCAGCGTCGGTGTAGAGCTCTTCTTTTGACTCTTTTCAGCGTCTCCGTGAGAACAGCTAAAACCTTAGGAGTCGTGTGAGGTTATCCAAACAGAAGTTATAATTCCCAAAATCGTCTCTGGTTCAGCTTGTTTGGTTTAGCAGCATCCATGAATGCCTGCGGTTGCATTCACGGACTCCCAAACTCCCTGCACTCTGGATTCCACAACTCTTGAACTCTACTGGAACTCTTCTCAACTCACTAGTTGAACTCTGGGAAGTGCCACATTTAAAATGGGCTCTACTTCCGGTTCGTTTGAGAGCTTTTGATTGGTGGATGGACCAGAACAGAGGTGTGGTTTGTGATGTAAGGTGTTATGGAAAGTCAAGGATAGAGATTAAGATTGTTTAAGAACAGACAGAAAGATTGTTGGAGAAAACCAGTCTTAGTGGCACCACCTCTCCTGTATCTTGCTGTAAAAGTTAAACATGACATTTCTTTTCAGTAAACTTTCTAGTTGACCGAAGCTCGAACTTTAACACACTTACAAATTTGCTCACTTTCAAAGCAGACGATCAAGAAATTGAATCATTACTCTGTAATGTACTCTAACTTGATTTCACTTTGAATTGAGGAATAAAAATCATTACTACTGTTTAAGTAAATAAAGATGAGTAGTTCACTTCAACATGTAAACATTGTTTGAACTAACACAATTTGATTATCAAAACATTTGTAAAATAGTAATGATCATAGAGAATTGTCTTTTCCACTTGATTAATTCAAGAAAGAAAGTCTCAGGATGGGTCTAAACTGTATTTCTGGATTCAAATCAATGAAATGACAGTTTCTGTCCATCTGGTCAGTTTTGACATCAGGCTTAGTTCACTACACATGCCCAAAGCACTTCTCTATATATATTTTTAGAACTTTTTATTAATAACACAGAACACTGCTGCGGCTGGGGCTGCCAGTTCTTTTTTTTTTTTTTTTTTGTAACCTGTCAATCAATCCAGTAGGCATGCCAGCAAATGACCAATCGGCGACCTCAATTTGTCCTGAAGGTAAACGCCCTTTATCTGTGGAGCTGGTCTGCAGCCACTCAGGTGGATGCTTGAGTATGAAGTCTCAACCCTCTGCGGATAGTGCGCACAGTTTCCGCACGGCTGACAGGACGCGCAAGTATACTGGAGCCTTAAGGGAGAGTCCAGCTGTCCTGCAGAGGAAACTCATTTCAACCACCTGTATTAGCAATCTTGTTCTTTCTGTCACTACTCTGAGTTCGTGGCCATAGGTGAGGGTAGGAACATAGACCGACCGGTACACAGAGAGCTTCGCCTTACAGTTCAGCGCTCTCTTTACCACAACAGACTGGTACAGAGTCTGCAATACTGCAGATGCTGCACCAATCCGTCTGTTAATCTCATGCTCCATTCTTCCTTCACTCATGAACAAAACCTCAAGATACTTGAACTCCTCTACTTGAGGCAGAACCTCACCCTTGATCTGAAGAGAACAATCCACCTTTTTCTAACTGAGGACCATGGCCTCAGATTTGGAGGGGCTGATTCACATCCTAGCTGCTTCACACTTGGCTGCAAACCGTTCCAGTGAGAGCTAAAGATCACGGCACAATGATGCCAACAGGGCCACATCTTCCCCAAATAGAGATGAAATCTTGGTCACCAAACCAGACTCCCTTTGACCCCTGGCTCCACCAAGAAATTCTATCCATGAAAGTAATAAACAGGATCGGTGACAACGGGCAGCCCTGGCAGAGTCCAATTCCCAATCTGAAGGGGTCCAACTTACTTCCAGCAATGTGAACCAAACTCTTGCACCACTTGTATTGGGACCAAACAGCCTGTAGCAACAGGACCCCAATCCCATACTCATGGAGCACCCCCACAGTGTACCCCAAGGAACATGATCAAACACCTTCTCCAAGTCCACAAAACACATGTAGACTAGATGGGCAAACTCCCATGACCCCTCAAGGACCCTAGTGTAGAGCTGTCATTTTTAATCCAAACCTGGAGCCCGGCCCCCTGCCCAATACGGATTTGGGCCGGGCCATAATAATCTCCTCAGAGCTGATCGAGAGTCTCTACCTAAGGCCTCACTGAACTTCTCCCACATCTGAGCTTTTGCCTCAGCAACAGTCAATGCTGCAGCCCACTTGGCCTTCTGGTACTTCTCAGCTGCCTCCGAAGTCCCACCAGCCAACAATGATTGATAGGAGACCTTCTTCAGCTTGCCTCCCTGAACAAGGGTGTCCATCACTGAGTTAGAAGATGGTTACCATGAGAAGCACCAACAACCTTGCGGCTACAGCTCAAAGCAGCCCCCTCAACAATTGAGGCATTGCTTACTCGGACTCAATGTCCCTCGCCTCAGCTGGGATGCAATTAAAGCTCTCCTGGAGGCGAGAGTTGAAAATCTTTTTGATGTTCCTGATATATCCTCAATAATCCAGGTAGATAAATCTAACAAATTTGAATCAGGTCCTCTGGCAGATTCTTTGTCGAAATGTTTGGTCTTTTATTCAAAATACTTCTTCAGTCTAAGGATCTGTAAGCAACTTTTAAGTAACACCTTCTCATAGTGGATCAACCAGTTTTCTGGAGACAGCCAAAACTAATTATTCATATGCAAAAGGAGGACCACCAGCCTAACGATCGATCATTAGTGCCCTGATGGCCACTTGCTATTCACAGAGAGCCGAGTGATGCTTGCAATAACAGCATTGTATTGCACCAAAATTCATGCTCAATAATCCAGGTAAAAATCCAAGGTCATCTGGACGGGTTCTTTTTTGCTGAGCAATGTATTGCTTTCAACTGTCCCCATCATACAATGCTGTTATCGCAAGTATCACTCAACCCTCTGTTAATATCAGGTGGCCATCAGGGCACCAATAATCAGTTGTTAGGCTGATAATCTTCCTTTTGCATATGAATAACTAGTTTTGGCTGCCCCCAGCAAACTGGTTGATCCACTATGAGAATGTAATATTTATAGGACAGAGGATGCTTGCAGCTCCTCAGACTGAAGGTCTTTAGAATAAAAGATGAATAATATCAACAAAGAAGAATAGATCCAGAGGACCATTCTCAATCTTGTAAGATCTTTCTGATGAGTTCTTCTGCCAGGCGTTCCCAGCAAACCCTCAGTACATGTTTGGGTCTACCGAGTCTATCTGGCATCTTCCCCCACAATTTGATCCAACTCACTACCAGGTTGTGATCAGTTCACAGCTCGGCTCCTCTCTTCACCCAAGTGTCCAAAACAAACAGCTGCAAATCAGATGATGCCACTAAAAAGTCTGTCCTGGTGCGAAGTGCACTTATGAACACCTTTATGTTCCAACATGGTGTTCATGATGGACAAACCATGACTAGCACAGAAGTCCAACAACAGAACACCACTCAGGTTCAAATCAGAGGGGCTGGAACAGGAGGAACACCAAATCACACCCCTCCAGTTCAGACTGTTGTTACCCACGTGGGCATTTAAGTCCCCCAGCAGAATAAAGAAGTACCCAGCAGGAGCATTTGATAGCACCCCTGTTAAGGACTCCAAGAAGGCCGGATACTCTAAACTGCTGTTTGGCGCGTAGACACAAACAACAGTCAGAGTCCATCCCCCTATCCAAAGGTGAAGGATGGCTACCCCATCATCTACCGGGAAAACCCCAACAAACATGCACCAAGTCAGGGGCCTAAGAGTGGACCCACACCAGCTTGGTGTCTTTCACCATGGGCACCTCTAGAATGGAATAAGGTCTAGCCCCTTTCAAAGAGATTGGTTCCAGAGCCCATGCTGTGTGTCGAGGTGAGCCCAACTATAACTAGTCTGTTTCTCTCAACCTCACACACAAGCTCAGACTCCTTCCCCACCAAAGACCATTCCATGTCCCAAGAGTCCATTTTGGTAAGCCAGGGTCAGAGAGCCAAGGACCCCACCTTCAGCTACTGCCCATGGCATCATGCATCTGACTTGTATGACCCCTTCTGCAGGTGGTGGGCCCACAGGAAGGCAAAACCATGTTGCCCTTACAGGCTGAGCCTGACCGGGTCGCATGGGTAGAGACCTGGTCACTAGGCGCTCTCCGACGAGCCCCTACACCAGTCCTGTCTCCAGGGTGAGGTCCCGGTAACCCACATTACCAAGGAACATGGAGTTCCTCGTTTGTCTTTGTCCATACAAGTGTGTTGAACTGCTCTTTGTCTGGCCAGTCACCTAGGACCAATCTGCTTTGGGAGACCCTACCAGGAGCAATCATAATTAATTACTTCTGAAGCATAGCTCCTAGGACAGGTATGCCCACACTTTTTCAGCATGCGAGCTACTTTTAAAATGACCAAGTCCAAGCGATCTACCTACTATAAAAATACAAAACATATACTTATTTGTAAACATATTAAGTATGCTTTTAATGTTTTACGTTCTTGTTTTTAGCATTTTACCATGTTTAATATGGCACCTTGATTTATTGTTTTATAACATTACTTTTATTTTAATTGGATTTTACTGTAGTTTATTGTTGTCTGTACTCTATATGTTGTCTGTCTAAAACAGGTTTCTCTTGTAAAAGAGTCCTCGTGACTCATTGAGACTAACCTGGATAAATAAAGGTTGAATTAATGAATACGTCCCAGCTTGCTGTGGACGCAACATAAATGACAAAACCCATCAGTTTATTTAAAAAAAAAAAGAAAGAAAAAAAGACAAATTTATTTTTATTGTTTGTGTACAAAATAATAAATAAAACTCTCGCTTCTTTATCTATACAGGTAGCCTCATTGAGCCACGAGAGCTCATTTTCAAGAGAGACCTGTTTAGGGAGCAGATGGGGGCTTAGGGGCCTTGCTCATGGGCCCAGGGTGGGGCAAATGAGGGTGGGGGCAAGTGTGGGTGCTTCACCTACCCCACCCACATTTTTGATGTTGTCGGTACCATGGTGTGAACCGGCGATTTTCCAATCACAGGCTCACCTCTCTAACCTCTACGCCACCACTCCCCTAAAAAAAAACACAGCAATAACTTCTGTTCTTCACACAAGGAACAGCAAACAAGAATAACTTCATGTTTGGAAAATAACCTGAAAACTTGAGAGCAAAAGTGAAAATTCAGCCCCGACAGCAGCTGCTTGTAATTGTAACAGTATTTATTGATACCCGAGAGCTTTGATGAAGATATTATTTCTGGTTTGTTTTTAAAGTCTCTGAACAACGAGTCAGCTGCTTCAACGAATAACTTTTACCATCTCTTTGTCTTGAAACGACTTCTTGTGCTTAACAATTATTAAAGTGACTCAACTGGACTGATGCTTCACTGCTCCGGTCAGCTGTAAGAACAATGACTGCTGTCTGGATAACTGGGATTTTAGTTCCTTCACCGTTTTCTTTCTCAGCTCACTTTTCAGAACGAAGTCAGTGCCATAGTATTTATAGTCCGAAAATGCCGCTCCGGTGAAACGCATTTCAAATATGATGTGAAATTAAACAAGTTCTCCCCCCATCCCATATGAAAATGGAAAATTTTTTGCTTACTTGGTCCAGGTCCCCAACTCATTTTACACACTTTATTGAGTTTAGATATAAACTGGAGGCTATTACGAGTCAACTCGTTTGTTTTTAGCGCTATTTGCGCATACATGGTGACCTATGCGTCAGAAAAGGTCAGTCTCAGATTGGCTAACCTGTATGTCAATCAAGTGATGATTTGCATAGTGAAGATAGATTGATCGGCTGACATCTATTTAAAAAAAAAAAAAAAAAAAAAAAAAAAAATCTATTTCGCTGTGCGATCTACTGATATTACCTTCACGATCTACTGACAGATTGTGATTGCCGTATTGGGCACCCCTGTCCTAGGATCATTCAGGCGCACATACTCCTACATCATGATAAGGTGGCAATTCAAGGAGTATCTCATGAACCACCACACAGATTTTATGAAACTTTCAATAAGTAATCATTGGTGGTTAACTTTTGGAGTCACCCCATTTCAAGATGGCTGCCTTAGCTAATCAATGTTAGCAAACACAATAATGGCTATACCTCAATCGGTTTTACAGACACTGAGCTCAAATTAAATGCTTTGTAGTAGTTGAGTCATCCTCAACACATACTCAGTTATAATAGATCTTGAGAGGTCTCACAATATTGCTCATCGTATAACATTTTTGTACAATGTGTGGAGCAAGAGGCTTAAACCTGTCTAAATGGTGCACTAATTCAGACACCGAATTAAATGTGTAAGCTCAATCTAGACACATTTGTCTTAGTTTTTGATCTAAAACAAACGTCTGTTTAAAAATGACCTTTCATTTTTAAATACTTACTCTAAAACATCTTTGTTGAATTGTTTCTGTCGGTTTCCCAGAAACTCTCCAATCATCTGCCTGCTAAGGCCCTTTCTCTCCAGGAGGAAGCGAGCGATCCCAACAGGCGTGTCCGATACAAATCCTCTCTCTATCAGATACTGGATGCCTTTCTCCGGCTTTCTATTGTTCATGTAAAAATATAACAAATCTTATCACTTCATGCATGAACTCTACCAAGAAATGTAATACTTGTGCTTGTTAGATGCTTACTTGTTGAAAAGATTGAGACCGATGCGGTACTGGCGTCTCTGCACCACATCACTGTTGAAAGGTGGGGAGTCCCAGCTGTGGCGGCTCTCTCTCTGATATGTCTGTTTTCCTAGAGGAGGCAGCGGCTCCTGCAGACTGTCCTGAGATGAGGAGCCTGAGCTGCAGTTAACGGTCTCGTTGGAGTTGGTGGTGGAGTTGAGGGAGTCATTGTCCCCATCGGAGCAACATGGCTGCTCCAGACCACCAGGTGGCAGAGCTGTCGAGGAGGAGGAGGATAGAGGGGTGGTGGGAGGCTGCTGGGGGGAGGAGGACGATGAGGGTGTGTCAGGGTACTGATGGTGATGGATGGGGTGGTGGTGATGGTGGTGGTGGGCTGCCACCTGGTGTGGAATATGTGTGGGTATCGACCTGCCAGTTGGCCTGGTCTGACCCTGAGCTGCTGCCGTAGAGGGATGACTGCTTGAGTTGGGGCAATGTTTAAGGGTTCCCTGAGGAGAGCCTGATCCTACCCCAGGTTCTTGCTCAAATACCAACTGTCTGCTCAGGGACCCACGATCTGAACGATCACTCATGTCAACAGAGCTGTCACTGGGTGGCTCAATGGTGAGGAGAGGCAGGTGAGCTCCTCTCAGACGGTAGTCTCTGCACTCTGTGCAGGGTGTGCTGCGGCGACTGTTACTGCTGCCCCCTCCCTCGGTGTCCCTGCTGTCCTCACGGCCTCCCACACCACCACTGGGGCCCCAGTACTCTGTATCTGTGCTGCTGGGAGCCCGGTCCAGAGACATTGGGGAGGATGGCATGCCGTCGTCCATGTAAAGAGTGACATCACTGTAAGAGGTGGCTGTGCTGTCACCATGCATACTAAGCCCCCCTCCAGCCCCTCTGCCTCGTTCTCCTAGTCCTCTCTGAGAGGAAGGGTTGCTGCTGCTGCTCCACATGCAGTCTCCAAAGTCTTCGCTCATCCCTCCACCATCCCTGCTGCCCTCCTGAGAGTCATCGCGACCTGCGCGGCAGGTGAGGGCATCGTCTATGGAGTCAGCTAAGGACTTGACCTACAACGGTTGAAAAGAATAATTGGTTAGATTCAAGTTAAGTTACACAAATCTTTAAAGCTTTTCAACTTCCACCAGTTTTACCTGTTTAGAGAAAGAGTCCTCAAGGTGGGTGTAGTCAACTGGGCGGTCTGGACCAGGGGAATGAGGAGGCCCTATGGCAACGCTGTGAGTGTAGTTGGACTGCGTTTGCTGCTGAGGTTGGCGCTCATCAAAGGAATACTGCAGTCTCATGTTGGACAGGATGATGCGACGTGTCATGCGACTCTCTGAGGCTGAGCTTCGAAGGCGCTCAAAATTTTTATTCATGCGATACTGTCTGAAGGCTGTCTGAATGGTCTTAGCTGCCCTTCGACTTACAAAAGAGCCACCATACTTTCTCTCCAACATTTCCACCTGTAAAGGTTGAGGCAAAATATGGAGAAGCAACAATAAATGTATGGACTCATTATACCTCAATGACACAGATTCATATTAAATCAAATGTTTAGCATTTCTTAAAGAAATGCATATCGCCCCCATCCTTTCATGCGCAAGCTTTAGACTACAATCATCTTATGCCGAGAAATGACAAAGTTATACACATTTTGGTCAAATCTTTTTTGTGTGATGTCATGCATTATTGCAAGCCGTCACGTGATCTGTCAACACCTGAAGTATGCGTTAAGAACACACTTTCACAACAACCGTACCAAATTTTAACTCAATATCGGCAGAACTGACTGAGTTGTAGCCATTTTTGAGCTTCATAATTTCAGTAACCTGTGTCAGCTGTGCTGAAATACATAGACTCTAATAGTTAATAATTTCTATAGTGGTGTTTTAATGTTTGTGAAGCCTTTATAATTTTCTATATTTCTGCATAAATATGACCTAAAACATCATCAGATTTTCACACAAGTCCTAAAAGTAGATAAAAAGAACTCAGTTAAACAGATGAGACAAAAACATTATACTTGCTCATATTTACTGAGGAAAATTATCAACTACAGTATTTTACATTTGTGAAGGACAAAGTATTTGCTTTCAGTATCTGGGGTGACCCCCCTGTGCAGCAATAACTGCAATTATTTTCATTCAACCTTTATTTATAGAGGTTAGTCTCACTGAGTCACGAGGACTCATTTTTAAGAGAGACCTGTTTTAGACAAAACCACAGATGAGGTACACACAACAGCCAAATAATGCATATAAAACGAAAATAAAATGAGTGATATAAAACAAAATAAAAAAGCTACATTATGAAACGAGGTAATGATGGTGAGCCATCCTGGCCCAGATGTAGCAGAACAGGCCCAAACCATGATACTACCACCACCAGTGTTTTCCCTACCAGGTGGCTGTGCTGTCACCATGCATATACTAAGCCCCCCTCCAGCCCTTCATTATTCAGTGTGGGCTCCCCGCCAGGTCAACAGAACTGAGCGCCTTGCCTACCGAACCAACCCTCCTCATCCCCCGTCGACAACTGCCAGCACTGACGTAGCGCTAAGCTAGCGGCGTGCGATACAGATGCGCTGGTTAAAAAGCTAGCAGAGGTAGCGCTCCATTTCCCTCACGTTGATCCAAGCCATTTCCGTCCCCCCCCCCCCCCCCCCACACACACACACACACACCCGTCGACACTGTGGGGAGACAGCGCGCAAGACAGACGTGTCTCCATCTCCATCCCACCTAACAAAATCCCAGAAGAGATGAGCGCCCTGTCAATGCATGTTACCTAGGGGAAACACTGATCACTGTGTTTCACAGATGGAATAAGGTTTTTATGCAGGAATGCAGAGTTTTCATTTCTCCAAAACATAACACTTTTCATTTAAACCTATATATATATATATATATATATATATATTAAGTCTCATCTGTCCACAAAACTTTCTTCCAACAGTCTTCTGGCTTGTCCATGTGATCTTTAGCAAATTGCAGATGAGCAGCAATGATCTTTTTGGAAAGCAATGGCTTCCTCCTTTCAACCCTGCCATGACCACCATTGTTGTTCAGAGTTCTCCTGATGGTGGACTCATGAACATTAACATCAGTCAATGGGAGAGAGACCTTCAGTTGCTTAGAAGTTACCCTGGGGTCCTTTGTGACCTCCCTGACTATTCCATGCCTTGCTCTTGGAGTGATCTTTGTTGGTCTAGCACTCCTGGGGAGGGTAACGATGGTCTTGAATTTCCTCCATTTGTACAAAGTCTGACTGTGGATTGGTGGAGTCCAAACTCTTTACAGATGGTTTTATAACCTTTTCCTGCCTGATGAGCATCAACAACTCTTTTTCTGAGGTCCTCAGAAATCTCCTTTATTCCTACCATGATCCACTTCCACAAACATGTTGTGAAGAGCAGATTGATAGGTCCAGTTCTTTAAATCAAACAGGTGCCCACTCACACCTGATCATCATCATATTGATTGAAAACACCTGACTCTAATTTCACCTTCAAATTAACTGATAATCCTAGAGGTTCACAGACTTTAACCACTCACAAATACAGTATGTAATATTGGATCATTTTCCTCAATAAATAAATGACCATGTATAACATTTTTGTTCCATTTGTTTAACTGGGTTCTCTTTATCTACTTTTAGGACTTGTGTGAAAATCTGATGATGTTTTCAATCACATTTATCCAAAAATATAGAAAATTATAAAGAGTTCACAAACTTTCAAGCACCACTGTAGATGTGCATCCTATGATTACATACTAAAAGTTCAACCCCTGCCGAAATCCTTCAACAAACAGTACAGTCAGTATCGTTACCTTCTTATCCTGCAGATCTGTTGACAGTTCATAGCTGTCTGAAAGAGCCTTGCACCTCTTGTTCTCCTCCTCTTCCTGCTTGCGGAGGGCCAGACTTGCAGGCTGGTGGCGTGTTCGCAGCACCCAGGCCAGGCTCGCCGAGCTGGAGGTGGCCACGCTTGCAGGGCCCTTGGAAGTGGAGGGGGCTGCGCTGCTGCCGTCAGTGTAGCGCTGTGAGCTGTGAAGGTAAGGCGTCTGGCTGAAGGAGCCGTCTTTGTGGGAGACCGTCTCCGGACACTGGGATTCCCCTTCCACACTGCAGAAAACAAAGAGTGGAAGCTATAAGAAGAAGCCTGACAAATGTTTATACCAAACATTTTGACATGCATAACGCAGAGTATTGTTGTATTCAGGAAGTTATACAAAGTAGTGATGCAGAAAAACTAAACAGACTTACTTGTAAATTTTAGAGCGCCGTGAAGCCAACCACCTCTTAGTGGTGTTCATTGTGAACTTGATGGCAATTCTTATTATTTTAAGCACTATCAGTCCCAGAACATGACAATATTCCTTGCTTACTCAGTGATTTGGTAATCCACGTGACAAAAAACCTTCTGTCATCCATTTTTCTTCTTTTAAAGAGTTCAGAGTGTAGTTAATATTTAGCCAAGTCAACTCGTCTGTCTTCACCACTATGACGTCCTTGTCAGTCAAGCACAGCAGCAGTAAAACATTTTGAAAAGTCAGCAGCTACATAAACAAGCTGCCACATACCAGAAACACTATACTGACAGGAAAAACCAGGTCGTTTCAATGGGAGCGGGTGTAAAACAAGCATCATCAGCTTACTGAGAAATATGACAAAATGGTTTCAATAAAAAGTCATGTGAGATTCTCTCACAGTCCAAAATACAGAAATGATCCTGAGCTGTTCAAATTAAAGACTTAATTCATCTGATCTGCTGTCAGAAAAGTAATTAAACAGAATAAACTTATCAGAAAGTGTCTCAAAGATCCTCCAGTGTCCCAGTGAGCAGAAAAATCCACCCAACTCACCCAGTGTGTGCTTGGGAAAACAGCTCTCGTCACGTTCCTGACTACATTTACATTTGTCTTCTGGTGTTAGCCACACCCCCCTCCTGTCAGCTGCGCCCACAGAAAGGCAGAGTACAACCGGGGTCAGGAAATGTGTGGGAACATTACATTCAGCACACCAAAACTGCACAAAACATTCAAAGCATAATAAGATTGGCTCTGTAAAGTCTGATTACAACAAGGAACTAAAATGATGCCTTGGTAAAGGAAGTGCTTTGGCTTCTGGTCCTGCTTACGTCACTGCTCTCGGCTGCCAACACTTCCTGTGTTTGAGTGTAGACAGTAAAAACAAGACCAGACAGATGTTGCTCAGGCAACAAAAAAAGCAACTTACTCAGTTGAGGTTATGATCAAAAAAGTGATAGTGCTGGAATAAACCTAAGCTATACGATCATAGTAAAAAACGTTGAGTGTTTGATGTGTGCAGAGGGGAAATCATGGGACAATGCAGCGTCCTTAGGCAGGACATCCTGTGCCTTTAACAACACATGACTTAAGGCTGTTGAGACTAACAACAGCCCCAAGGACATCACAGCTATGTTGCACAACACCAAGATCACTTAGGAAGCCCCTGCAATAAAAAGCACAACTGTGACATCTGTAGGGAAGTAATGATCAGCACAACTAAAGCCTGGACACTTGACAAGGTGGATTGTTTCTACATTTTGGGAGCAACAAGTTGTTGTGAACAACTCCCTTTCCTCTTGGATACAAACGTATTTTCTCTGCAGCATGATTTATCATTCCTCCTCCTCTGCTCCTTTAAATAGAGAAACAGAGAAAAAGGAGAGGGGTTGCTTGGTGACGGTTGCTGTGGGACCTTTGTGGGCAGCGAGGCAGTTGTTGGGATAAAAAGCATAGTTGCCATGACGATGTATTGACTGTTATCTTTATTAAGGTGGGTGTTGAAGATGCTCCACTGGTTGTAAATGACGGTCTAAATAATGTTTGCCTTTTTGTGAAGGTAGCTAAAATAAGTTTTTGCACAGAGTGACTTAGACAAATACATGTTGTCTAAACTTAAAAAGCAATAATAATTAAAAAAATAAATTAGGTGAACATTATTGTATTGTCTTTGACAATTCACATGAGTAAAAAGCTTTCATACATTTATATTTTTTTAAATAAACTAGTCCTGGAAGCACCGCTGCAGATTGTACAGGAAACTGATGCTTTATTGTTATTTCTGTCTAGTTTCCCTCTTTATTTCTTTTCATGAAGACATAAAGTTTCAAATGATAAAATCTAAATTATTTTCATGGTAGACTTTGAATTAACTTTTTTTAATTAGACTTTGAATTTGTTTGAGAGAGGCCTCTAAAAAGTAGAGTCTAAAATGGACTCGTAACTTTGTGTTACACCTGCACAGAAAGGCAGAAGAGAATAAATAAACTTTGTGTCTTCTTTGTTTTGAAGCAAGTTCTTGCAATTAAATATTCGTTTGCATTTATCTGCAATGATTTACACAGAAAAGGGTCATTTCTAGACAATGTTTAAAACTGATAGCATTTTGTCCAGGGTGGCATGATGGAGCAGTGGTTAGAGCTGTTGCCTCTCAGCATGTTCTTCCTGTGCGTGCATGGTCTTCCTCCGAATACTAGTCCTGTTTTCTTCCACAGTCCAAAAACATGCATGCTAGCTTCATTGGTAAGTAAATTATCTCTAGGAGAGTGAATGGTCGTTGTCTCTTATGTGTCCCTCTGAAGGACTGGACACCTGTCCAGGGTGTCCCCCACCTCCCACACAATCTACCTGCAAATATGACGAGGGGGTCTTTAATAGCAATAATAATATTGTTTGTGAAACTTTATGGCTGTCAGTGAGGGAAACTGTATTTTTATTTCCAATAAACAAATGTATATTTCAGCTTTAGAGGTTTATACACAGCATTTGTTGATAATCAGTCAAGTAAAGCATTTTGATGACTTTTATTTTATGGACTTTTAAAAGTTACATTTATCAGTTCTGATAGTTTTAATTTATTTTAATCCATTTCATGTTGTCACACAAAGAAGGCATTTGCCACATTTATGTTAACAAATAATTTTTCAGTTTATGATTTTTTTTGGTTGGGATTTTGTCTAAATCACTGTGTAGAATAGTGAAATATGAGAACATGTGAGAATATTCAAATGTTACAAAATGTGGTGAAAAAAAATCTTCTGAAACAAAAGATATAAAAGTTGTTGACAAAGAATTGTAAATTTATACGTTTTTGACCATATTAATTTACAAACACGAGTCCCACGATCAGCAATGTTTTTAAAATACAGAATAACATTTCATCTTCAGCTAAATGTCATTGAAAGGACAATCTGAGGGACAAACACGAGGAGGATTGAGGTTCTGCATCAGATTGTGTCCTACTCATTTGAAATAAGCTGTCGGAATGATAAAGCCTCAGGACCCAGTTCAATTCTACATAAACTGATAAATTAAAACATAACAAAAAGTAAATTGGCTTTGGTGGATGCTGTTTGAGGGTTCCTTTACATGCATAATATTGTCAACATCATGACACATTTAATTTGCTTCTCATGTTTTCATTCTTCAGTAAATTGCCCAAACAGGATGGACGGGTGGGACAGAGACACGTGACTCTTGAGTAAATGTCACAACAGTTTATATTATGAACAGAAGATTCAAGAGAGATCTCAAAGGGAAATCCAGGTAGTAAATTTCAATCATTTTATCAGTACATGATCTGACATCTGAGGATCGATATCGATCATCCAATGAAAAAGGTTAATAATATATATTCCAAACAAAGTGTTGGTTGCAGGTTTTGCAATATTCCAGCATGCTTTTTATTCTGTTACTTTGATCAATCTTGCCTGTTTTTGTCATTTATTTTGTAACTATTTGCTGCTGCTAGAATCCTCCATGTGCCCCCCTCAGCCAGTCTGCCCTGCAGGGGTCTCCGGTGGTCAATGTCAAATCTTTGGTGCCCTGTAATTTCCAGAGTTCAGGTACCAGTAGTCTACTTGTTGTGGGGATTTTGACATCGTCTGCTCAAAGTCCTCCTTTGTTTGTATTTGAGTTTTATGTTTGGGTCCTAAAATTAGTTTTTGGTTGTCAGATTCACTATTTCACTTTTTAGAAGTAAAAAAAAAAAATCCATCCCGTTAGCCGATTATTTTTGGTTTTGCTCACTTTTAAACTTGGGTTTAGTTTAGCTGCTGACATCTGAGGTACAAATGTCAAAGAACACCCAAATGTACAAAATAAAGTAGATATGGTGACTTAAAGCCCTGTAGAAATGAAGTACAGTACATAAAAATATCTACTAACTTTAACCTCTTAATTTTTTTTGCCATTTTTATGATCATATATCATAATTTTATTTCTTTTATCATATTTTTATCTATGATGTTGTAATTATTGTGAAGCATTTTGGTCAGCTGTGGTTGTTGTAAATGTGCTAGATAAATCAACTTTGACTTGACTTGACATAAATCCATCCTACACCCTCTTCATCCTGCTCAGGATTACAGGGAGCTGGTGCCTGCTGGTGGTGATAGAGGTGGAGTACACCCTGAACAGGTCGCCAGTCCATCACAGGGCCACACACGAGACAACCATTACACTCACATCTAAGTTCAATTTAAAGTCACCAGTTAACATAACGTGACTGCTCTTGGACTGTGGGCAGAAACTGGAGCCAGAGAAAACCCACACCTGCAGATGGGGAGAACATGTGAACTCCTAACAGTAAGCCAGTAAGAAACAGTAAGCATCTTATCACAAGCAGAACTGGTTTGTTCCACTTTGGAATGAGCTATTGGGGGAAGAATCCGTTTTGTTGTGTGTTTCCTTCACTGATGAAGCCTTCCGAACCGAAGGCGAAACGTTTCAGCACACACACAAAAAAAAGAAACTGTCCAGAATTATTAAGCATGGACTTTGTTCCTAACAGTAAGGCCCCAGTCCTGCTCCAAATCCAGTACCTTCCCACTGCGAGGGAACAGTGCTGTACCTCCATGCTGACTAATAACACAAACTCACCAGGCCCGAGTGAGATCCTGAAATCCTCAACAAAAAAGAACATCTTTAGTTAAACTGAATCAAATCTGAGTCATCAAAAGTGTTTAAAGCAATGAGTCAGAAAGTACTGATGTGACTAAAACCTGCAATAAAATAATCTCTGCTGCAGCTCCAGTTTGATCAAAAAGTGCATCAAAGAGTTCAACAGGACTTAGAAACGGACAGTGAAAGGGATGA